GGGCAGGGGTGGCACAGGGTCTGGGGCTCTGTGCTAGAAAAAAGAGGCTGCACTGCCTGAGCTGCCCTGACCCCCAGACCTCTGTCAGAGCTGGACAGTGTACCGACAATTTCTCAGTGCTCTGGTGAGGGCCAGAAACATCCCCCGGCTGGGGTCTCAGGTGCCAAGGTGCTGTCAGCAACCTGTGCAGATAGGAGGCAGCAGGTAGCTTCCCCGCTCTCTGGGGAAATCCTGTGGTTTTGTGAAGAAAGCTTTTTTGCCAGTGGAAATACAGTCCCACTCTAGAGGCCTCCGACTCTGAGCCAAAGATGGGGAGGTTGGGAGAAGCCCTGGGCTCGGCTCTAAAGGCTCCTCCGAGCTCACAGCGGCTGCTCCTGGCTGCCCTCCCACAGTCTTGATGTCCCTCTTCCCTGCCAGTTCTCCACAGCCACATGTTTGCCTCCCAGGAGCTCTGGGCAGACCCAAGGGGCAGGAGGAAAGATATCACTTCCATACATTACAGCATTTTCTTTAGGCCTGGGTCTCCCGGACATGTGGGGAGCCTTCTAGAAATGTGGAGCTCTCTTTCCAAGCTGCAACTGGGCCACCTCTTATCTGACTTTTCGGGGGGGGGGGCCTTCAGCTGTCCCTGCACACAGTAGGTGCTCCAGTGTGTGATGAACAGATACAGACGGGACTCCCTGGCTCCTTTCTGCAGGCCAGCCTGCCCTCAGGGGGACATCATTTCACCGCTTTCTGCCCATCAGAGCCTCCAGGTCACTTCTGGCCCCTGGGGTCTTACTCTTCATTCTCTGCTCCTACCTGGTAGCCCAGATCCAGTGCCATCAGAACCCAGTCCAGTGGGGAACACTCCTTTCCTCTATCTGGTGGGAAGCACCCCTTCCCTCTATCTGGCATCACCCAAGGACCCAGTTTTGAAGAAGCACCCCCCCCCAGCTGGGATTGGCTGGAAAGCAGGCATAGGGCTTCCATGGAGAGGAGAGCCAAGAAAAGATGCTGGCTGGGCATGGGGTGCATGCCTGAGGTCCCACTACTTGGGAGGCTGAGGCAGGAGGATTGCAGTGAATGACCAGCCTGGGCTACAAAATGAGCTCAAGGCCAGCCTGAACTGCATAGCAAGACCCTGTCTTAAAAAGACAAGAGGGGCTGGGGAGATGGCTCAGTGGAATAAGCACTTCCCTGGCAAGCGCAAGGGTCTGAGTTCAATCCCCAGTTCTGAAAAAAAAAAAAAAAAAAAGACAAGAAAAGATGCTGGCCCCTCCCCAGGGGTGCATGTAAAGTCCAGGAACCAGAGACCAAGGCAAGGGAAGGCCCAGGCCAGCCTGAGTAACACTTCAGAGGCTCCAACCTCTCAGGGCCTAACACTCTGTGACCCTCTGCAGCCTGCGCCCACGTGCAAGAGCTCTGCTTCCAAGCACAGCTGGAGTGTCGGGGTCCAGGCTTCTGAGGCCCCAGGAATAGCATCTCCCAAGATCCCTACAGACACAGGGTTCCCGTGGAGGGGAGTACCTTTCAGCTGAGATCCCAGTGTGAAGAGTTTGGGGAAGGGGTGGTGGGCAAAGGTGTGCGTTTCCATGGAGAATCTTGGGAGGGAGGCAACGCTGAGGAGAACCCACAATTAACTTCCTTCAGTGGCAGACCCCAAAGTGGAAGGCCAGGCCTCTCCCTTTCTGGAGAGGGAGGTTCCAGCCCTTTATCCTTCTCTGCTTGCCAATAAATCCTTATTTGTTTCCATGAGCACCTTAGAGGGGACACTTCTGGGTGCATGCAGGAGAGAGGAACGAAGAGATGAGGCGGGGGAGCCACACTCCTCACCCCAACTTCCTTTCTCCCTCTCACTGTGGAGGTCCAAGCCCTACTGGTTATCGGGGTCAGAAGCCCCACATTTCAGTCCTAGCTCTGCTCCTCTGTAGTTGTGTGACCACAGACGCGTCACCTCCTCTCTGCACTTGATTTTCCAGCTCCTAGAACAAAGGTTAATGTTCCTGGACTCAGCCCAGGAAGTGGCCCGACAGCGCCGGTCACCTACTACTGATTTTAAAAAGCCACCCCTGGACTGAAGCTCTACCTCCTGCTCAACTCCCAAGCTGCCGCTCTATGCCGGGTATTATTGACCTACTTTACAACCTGAGAAAATTGAGGTTCAAGAAGCTTAATTAAGTTCCCCCGAGACACCCATCTCTACTGCCAAGTTCCAAAGCCTTTTCCACTCTGATTGGTGTTCTGCCCTGGGGAGGCCTGGCTTCTTTGCCCTGAGTTCCAGAGTTCCAGAATCAACTCTGAGGAAGTCATTTCAGCCAGCAATGAGCCACAGTGTCCGGACAAATACCATCACTGGCCTGGGGAAGCTGGGACAGGGATGTGATCTCAGAGTAGTGATACTGAGTCCTCTGGATGGGAAACATCAGCCTATCATGTAGTTTGGGCTATGAGAAAGGGGTGTGCCTAGCAGCAGGGCAGAGACAGGGCGCCACCCAGATCACTAGACAGTGGGGCAGAAGGGTGGGCAGCTGTGGAGCAGGGGGTCCCTGGGAGAGGTCCCTCTCCTCCGCTGGCACTTGACACCCCTTCCTATAAAACACTCAGCCCCAAGGTTTATCACTCAGGTACCCCAGAACCCAGCCTAGAACCTGCCCAGGTGGAGTTGGGTCTCAGCCAGCCCTTGGGGGAATTACTGGGTCTGAGGCAAGCCCCCTGCCCCCCACTGTCCTACTTCTCTCTCCCACAGAAGAGATGAGTTTAGAGTGGGGTCCAGCAGGTACGCACATTCCTGGCAAGGGCCTTGCCTGCTGCCTTAGGTGTGAGGAGGTCACCTCCACCTAAAGAACCGGGAAGGTCCTTTGGCAAATTGGGCCCAGTCAGTCCTGGCCCTGGTATTTCTGCTACAGGTGTCAGACCTCTCCCTCCTCAGGGTTCAGGGGCTCCTAAAAGCCAGAATTCTGGGAAACCTGCCCAGGACAGAAAGCCCCACCCAGGGGCCAGTTTTTAACAGCCAGAACTAGTTCTGGTGGTGTCCCCCAACTTAGCACCAAGTATGCCTCCCCCCCAAAGTAGGGGACTGAGAGGAAGGAGATTCTGATCTCCCTGGAGAGCCTGGGAAGAGTGTGGGAGTCGAGCCAGATGCCCAGCCCCCAACTCACAATCTTTAAAGACAGCCAGAGGTAAGGGCTCCGGGTGAGCCAGCGAGCCACCTAGCTATCCAGTCACACAGATCTCCACAGGTTACAAAGAGCTCCAGAACCCTAGGGCAGAACAAAGTCTCTCAAATTAAAAAAAAAAAAAAAAAAGAAAAAGAAAAAAAAAAGCCTGCCATTTCCCCACAGGAAAGCCAGCTTCACCTGGCCAGAGGCTCCTCTGTCTTAAAATGCCAGGGCCACCAGAGCAGAGAAACCAGGAGGGCAGTCAGTCTGGGTTATCCAGGGAAAGTGACCTTCGGGACAGGTGGGACGGCAGGGCACACAGATCCTCTCGCAGATATCGGCCGCAGGGACCAGGGGGCTGCTCCTCCTTCCTTCGCGGGACAAAGGGGCACTCGGTGAGACAAGGCAAGTGCGTCTCCAGCAGTGTCCCGAGTCCCGGTTCCAGGGTCCACACACTTGGGCAGGGACGCATCCAGGCAGGCGCTCTGAACAAGGCCGGATGCAAACTTCGGGCAAAAATCCCGCATTAGCCAAAAAGCTCCTGGGCTCTCTCGGGAACCCTCGGAAAGGTGGCTTGCGGCTCTGGTTTGCTCCTCGGGCCCCTTAGTCCATTCCTAGAGCCTGGCTCGGAGTGCCCAGATCGACCTGTGAGGACACCGCGGGTCCTCAGGCGCCTGAAATGTCAGGTGCCCAGCGAGCAGGGGATCCACGGCGCTGGACTGGCACGGGAGAAGCTGGGGGCGCAAACTAGGGCGCGATCAGACCTCGGGAACTCCCTGCCCTCTTCCGCCCAACCTGCAGTCAGCGTTGGGGAGCGGGCGAGGACCCGAGGTTGCCCCAACTGGGACAGAGAAGGAGTCTGGCGGCGTCAGGGCCTTGGCCTCAGAATCCGCATCCCGCGAAATCACACGGTCCTTCCCGGGGCGTCTTGCATTCCAGTGCCGCGGCTCGGCCCGGGCGCAGCGCGGAAGTTTGTTCAGCTTCGGAGCGAAGCACGAGCCGGCCGGGCCGCGGGGGGCGGGGAGCGTGGGCAAGAGGAACACAGGATCCTCGATCCTGGACGCCGGGGTCCTGCTGGATCGCTCGGGACCCCTTCCCTGGCGGGATCAGCTTCTGCGGGCGTCTTCTGCCCCCCGCTACACGGTGGGACGCGCGGTTTCCCCAGATGGGACGCGCAGAGGAGCCTGGGTCGGTCCCCACCCTCGCGCTCGGGCGAACGAAAAACCACCGGGCTGTTTCCAGGCGCTCCAAGGCCCCAAGAAGTTTTCCGCTCCGCGTCGGCTGCGAGCGCGGGGCAGAGAAGAGGCCGGGCGCGCTCCGCGCCGCCGGGCTCACCCAGCCGAGCCCTCTCTCACCCCGACGGCGCGCGGGTGGCACTGCGGTTCCGCCCCCCCTTCTCCGGCCAGTCTCGGGGAGTCCCGCAAATGCGAGCGGGGCGCCCACTTCCTCACTTCCCTTCCCGGCTCGGGAAAGTCCGGGCCGGGACGCATTCTTTGTCTGACTCGGGGCGGGGGGGGTCGCGCCCCTACACCCCGCTCCGGCGGCGAGCAGGGAGGGGCGGAGCCCGAGCCCCGCGAGGGCGGGCCGGGGCGGCCCCTAAGCACCCCAGACCCCGCGCCACCCCCGGGCCCCACCTGTTCCCCCGCGGCGTGGGCCGAGGTCCCTGGGGGTTCGCGGGCCCCGGCGTCGGCGCGCTCGGCCCGGCCCGGCCGGAACAAAAGTGCGGCGGCGCAGGCCCGGCTCTTCCCGGCTCTTCCCGGCCGCGCGGGGCAGTTTGCAAACACAAAGTGCGCCGCGAGCCAGCGGAGTTGGAGCGGCCGCCGGCCCAGCCCCCACGCGTCTCCGCGCGCCGCCACCTACCTGTCGGGCCCGGCTCAGCCCGCGCGGGGCATGGGGCTCGCTGGGTCGCCGCCGCCC